TTTATAGTGCAGGCTGGCCTTGAACTTTGAGTGATCCTCCTGCCTCAGCCTCTCAAATACGGAGATTACAGGTGTGTGCCACCATGCCCAACATCTTTGCTGATTTTAAATAAGCTATTTGTTTATTATTGAATTCTGAGAGTTTTAAAAAAATTATTTTTGTTTTTCTGAGATAGGTTCTTGCTATGTAGCCTAGGCTGGCCTTGAATTTGAGGCAGGCCTGCCTCAGCTTCCCAAGTGCTAGGATTACAGGCACATGCCATTACACAGCAAGCAGTGTTTGTCTTTTTGTGATTATTTCACTTGACATAATGTCTCAAAGTTATTCTGTTTTCTCATTCTGTGGGTTGTCTTTTTAATTTCTTGATTGTATCATTAGCATTACAAAAGTTTCTAATTTTGATGGGATCCCATCTGCTTTTTCCTTCTGTTCCTTGTTATTTTGGCTTCATTTTAAAGAGACCACAGCCATGCCAAGTATAGTGACGCACGCCTGTAATCCCAGCACTCAGGAGGCTGAGGCAGGGGGATCTCTATGAGTTTGAGACCAGCCTGGGCCACATAGTGAGTTCCAGGTCAGTCTCAACTACATAGTGAGACCCTGTCTCAAAAAAACAAAAACAAAAACAAAACCCAAAATAAAGACACCACAGCCTAATGGATTGCAAAGATTTTCACCTGGGTTTCCTTTAAATGTTGTATAGTTTCAGCTCTGACATTTTAGCTTAACTTTTCTATGTAGTGTACAGTAGTGTGAGCTTCTTTTGCAAGATCCAGCTATCCCAGTGCTGCTTGTCAAAAGATGATTCTTCCCCCTGGTCTTGATGTTCTGTGGACAGTTGTGCTTCTGTGTCCCTGCTTTCGTGTTGCATCTTACAAACTCCCCTTTCCAGTAACTCGGGCCAGCAACTCGGACTTCTCTGAGCTCCCTACTCCTTCCTGGCTTAGGGTCTCTTTGTTTTTTCTCCAGTGCTGGGGATTGAACCCAGAGTGTTCTGCAGCCCAGGCAAGTGCCCCACCATGAGCTGGCCTGGCGTCTCCGCTTAAATGTCTCTCACACTCCTTTAAGACTGAAGTCGTGGGCTGGGGACACGGCTTGGTGGTAGTGCACTTGCGCAGATCCCTGGGATCCGTGCTCAGCACTGAAAAAAGAACCAACAAAGCTGAGTTCATGACTGTCCTCCCGCTGCGCCCTTTCTCAGTGCGTTCCCTGGCACATCCGACTGGCTAAGCTGGAAACCTAGTAGTCCTGTTGCCATCTCTCCTTTGACCCACAGGCAACTGGGGTCACCGAGTCAGGTAGCTTCCACTTGGAAATACATATCCCGGACTCACCCCTGCCCTCCATCCCCACTGCCACCAGGTCCTAGATGTCACTCTCTGCTGGGCTGCAGCTTCCTGGGTGCTCTGTCTCCAGGGAAACTTGTAAACACACTGGATGAGGTTCACACAGTGGACTCTCCTCAGGCCACAAAAATGACCGACCGTAGCTCATTCTTTTCTCACCAGCGTTCACCCTCACATCCCTGCCCCTCTTCTGTCTGTTTACTTTGAGGCAAACTTGTATATTGTAAACCCCATTTAACCCTTCTTGGGTCCCTCTTTTTTTGTTGTTGTCAGTTTGTTTTTTGAGAGAGGGTCTCACTATGTAATTCAGGCTGGTCTTGAACGCACAGCCATCCTCCTGCCTCAGCCTCCTGAGTCCTGGGATTATAGGTGTGCGCCACCACACCCAGTGAAGCCCCCACTTCTTGTAAACTAATGACCGAAACCCTGCCTGCTCCCGTGTGATCTGGCCCTGGTCACCTCTCCAGCCTTGTTGCTCACTGCCTCCCGGCTCACCTGCACCGTCCAGGCACAAAGGCTTTTTTATGTGCACACCGCTAGCCTCTGAGCCCTGGCACACCAGAACCCTGGGCAGTCACCCCTCTCCCACTGCTACCGCCCTGCCGACTGGTTGGCATTCTTTGCATGTCACATCCCTGCCCTCTGTTGAGTCTGGACTCTGATCGTGCCTTCCTGGCACCCCCTGCTGCCCCTCACTGCCTGGACCGCACAGTTAGAATTACTTGCTGTTCTGAGTAAATATTCGCTCCTCCTCGGGCAGCCTCACCTCCCCTCCTGGGCACAGGGCACAGGGCGCTTACCCAGGGCTGAGTGCTTTGGAGGAGGACAGCAGAGGACGGAGCATGTCCTGACTTCTGTGGCCACCTGCGGGTTCCCCAAGTCCTGGCTCTGTTTCCCTCACACATTTGTTTTCCACCCTGGGCTGGGATTTTCTTGCTCTTTTGAAGAGGAGAAACTGAAGCCCAGCAAGGAAGAGGTAGTTCCAGGCTTGTCCCTAGCCCTCGCCTCCTCTAGGACCTGAGAGCCCAGTGGTTCCCCAGAGCTGGGGCCATGCTGCAGGGATGGACACTGGGCGCTGGGGACAGAGCTGACTTGTCCCCAGAGTAGCCGCACCCCTGGCAGTGCTGAGCAGGGTGTCTGCCCGGCAGAGGCTATCTGTCCCCTGCCAGCAGAGTGGCTGCCAGACACACAGGGGAGCTCTGTCTCTGACTGAATGCAGGTCTGTGTTTAGACTTGAACGACTAGCTTCTTGTCTGGAATGGCCTGCCAAGAAAACGTGGTCTGTCACCGGGCCCGGGCACCGGCTGGACAGCCAGGCTGTGGCCAGGCGCGGCAGGAAACACTGGCGTCCCCAGGAGTGAAGCTTCTCATTTGTCCCTCCCTGTCTCTCTGTCCTCACTGTGCAGGCCTTGAGCTCTGGGCAGGAGGGAGGTAGCAACTGCTGGCCCGAAACCTGCAGTGCGGGGCGGAGAGAGGGATCCTAAATTTGATGGCCTGTGTGAGTCTTCAGGTTCCCAGAAAGGTGGGAGAGTCAGGCGTGGTGGTGGATGCCTGAGGGTGGGAGGTGGCCCGGGGGTAAGAGGTCTTTGCCAGTGGCTCTTGCTTCCTTGGGCTGAAGCTCCAGGGCAATGACTCAGGTATGGAGGCCGTGTGTGATCTTTATGGGTCCCCTTGGGGTTGTGTGGCTCCCCAGTAATCCCTTCCCATGGGGGTGCACCTTACGTATCCTCCAGGGACACTCAGTTGGCCTGCGGGGGTGGCTTGGTGATCAGGAATGGAGGATCCAATCATCCAACCCAGACTGGGCCTCGATCTCCCTCATCCTCAGGTCCTCTGTGTGTGGAAGCACAGCCGTGGGAGGCGTCGAGGTCGCAGAGGTCCGAGTGAAGCTGGCAGCGAGCTGGCTGGCTGCAGTCACCCCAGCTCTCCTGCTGGGCAGAGAGCGACCCTGCTTCCGAGCCGCACAGCTGAGGCTGGGCTTGTCTGTTCAGATGACGAGGAGCTGTCGAGGGCTCCCTGCGTGCCAAAGGCTGTGAGCGGCCTGGCGAGGAGAGGTGCTGGGGCTGAGGTGGGGACCCCGCCTTGGGCAGGAAGAGAAGCAGGGTCCGAGCTCTTCGCAGCTTCACGTCTCTACAGCAGTGACCGAGCTGACTCTGAATGCTCTCCCGTGAGACGCTGGGCCTTTCTGGGGTGCTGAGAGCTGGGCCTGGGCAGGGAGGTTGGGGAGCAGGAAGAAGGAGCTTGCGGCCCTTTCAGTCCCGTGGCCTGCTTGTCCATGTGGCGAGGTGAGAGGCTGGGCGATGTCTTGGCCACCGAGGGCAGGACACAGGGTCGGCCTGGCTCACTGTCCCAGCACCGTGGACAGGATGGTCTTCTTGGGAGGAGCATCTCCTCTTGGCCCCAGAACTAACGGGTTCTGTGCGTCCCAGACCCTCCACGCCAGAGGACTGGGCCCACATTGGCTCCTGCGCCCCTAGTTCCTTCAGTTGGCTGGGTTCTTTGAGGCGGGGAAAGAGCAGGGCTTGGCCTAGGGAGCCCCACTCCTCAGGGGCCCCTGCATGGTCATCTGAGACTTCACTTTTATCTCTCACACACCCCCTCTACTGGGGTCTCTGGGGCAAGCCGGGGGCTGGCCCTGGTCGCAGAAGCTACAACCCTCCACCCTGAGCACTTGTGTGGAAAGAAAGAAGCAGGAGGATGGCTGAGAGTTTGAGACCAGGCTGAAACACATAAGTGAGACCCAGTTTCAAAAAACAGAGCAACAAAAACAGCAGGATGCTGGCCTCTCCCTTCGGGAACTAGAGCTCAGCTGAGGTTAGGCAGGATGGGGAGCCAGGTCTAGTCACCTCCCTTCTGCCTGCAGCCACCTGGGGAGGAAGTTCACAGTTCTCAAGCCCGCCCCTTCCTCTTCCTGGCCTCTGACCCGGGCTTAGGACTCAGACAGACCTCCGTGGAGTCCTGGCCCTGCTGGGATGGGTCACGGAACCAGCCATCTCTGGCCTCCACTAGCAAGTCTAAGCAGGACCACCTGCCCTGTGTCACCGGTGCCCTGGTGTGGGTCTTTGGGCAAACCAGGCACGGCGGTTTCCTATTTGGCCAAAAGCACAGGGGCCCTGGCAGTGGAAGTGGGGATTCATGGGCGCCAAGGGGAGCAGACGGCCTGTGCTCTCTCTTGGACTCAGGGTGTGCCTGTGGTCCGCTTTTGCCTCATGCTGTCCCCTGCGTGCAGCACAGAGTTTGGCTGGGTAGGTGGTGGCTAGGGTCTCAGAGGGAACTCGTACTCCTCCGTCCCTCTTCTGTCTCACGGCTGCCAGGCGAGGGAAGGGAAACTGAGCACATCCAGCTTAGGTGCCCTCCGGCCCCTGCCTGGGAAGCCAGGGTTGTGACTGTGCGGGGGCCTGGTCCTCCCTTCGCTAGGGGAGCTGAGTGGGGTGGCTGGAGTGGGACCCAGTGAGTGTCTCCCAACTTAATAGTCCACCTCCTACTCTGTGAGATTCAACGATGGGGTTTCTCCCCTTTTCTGGTCGGTGCAAAGGGCAAAGCCTTTGTCCTAGCAGGGAATATGCACTCAGAACATAAAAAGTGGGGCATAACTTCTGATGAAGTGCAAAGGCAGCAGTAATAGGATTATTTTTGCGAAAGAAGAAAATTACCTTCTGTCCTCCAATTTCAGCCTGTTGATGATGAACCTGACCCCATTCTCGTGACCCTAGTTTGCCCTCAGGAAGGGTCTTGTTGCTCCCTCAGCTCCTGGGCTGTGTGGCAGGATTTGATGTTTCCTGCGAAGGACAAAGTGCTGCTCGTAGCCAGCTCTGCCACACGGGACAGCTGTCTTGTCGCTTCCTTGGCACACTTGGGGAAAGGGCTGCATGGCCTTACCTGCAAAGGAAATGTGTGTTGACACAGGGACACCTGAAATGGTTACAATGACTTTGAAATTCAAGAGAGACACAGCAAAGGCTCAGGAAGTTCAGAGCCTGGGTCTCCAGCACAGGCAGGTGGTGGTCTGGCCTCAGATAGCAGTAGCTACAAAGAAAGCATAGGAGGTATAAGGGTAGTTGTGGTGTCTTAACTCTGGCTGTAAGTCGAAAATCACCTGGGAACAGGGCTGGGGATTTAGCTCAGTGGTGCTGCTGCTTACCTCGTAACTGCAAAGTCCAGAGTTCGATCCCTGGTCTCCCCAACCCCAAATTACTTGGGAACCTTTCAAAGCCTGGACCTGATCCTGCTTTGTGACCCAGCAATTCCATCCTGAGTGTTTACTGACGGTAATGAATACTTATGCTGCTGGAATTTTCAGCCACTTTCATAATAGGCCTAACCTGTGTGGTAGTTTGGCTCTGGTGATTAGACTCCCAGGGGCCCAGCTGACTTCCTATTGGGAGGTAGGGCCTGATTGGAGCAGATGGTCCCTGGGCATGACCTGAAAGGGCTTGTGTCCCTCCCCACCTCTTGCCTTGTCTCCTTGCATCCTTCCACCAGGATGTGAGCGGCTTCTCCGCCGGACCCTCTGCCATGGACTGAAACGTGAGCTGAAATAAACCTCTCCTTCCTTCAGTTGTGGGTATCAGGTAGAAGGACATAACTGAGACAACCTGAAACTGCCCATGTCCATGAATAGTAAAACGAAAAAATAAACCAACACATGGGCCAGGGATTTAGCTCAGTGCTGCCGCCGCCTGCCTTGCAAGTGCAAGGACCCGGTTCAATCCCCAGTACCAAAAAACAATTAAAAAGTTAAAAAAAAAAGGCCAGGTGTGGTTGCGCGCGCCTATAATCCCAGCACTTGGGAGCCTGAGGCAGGAGGATCACTATGAGTTTGAGGCCAGCCTGGGCTACATAGTGAGTTCCAGGTCAGTCTCAACTATACAGTGAGACCCTGTCTCAAAAAACCAAAAAAAAAAAAAAAAAGTAAAAAAAAAACCAAAAAAAAAAAAAAAAAGTAAAAAAAAAACCAAAAAAAAAAAAAAAAAGTAAAAAAAAAACCAAAAAAAAAAAAAAAAAAAAAAAAAAGTTAAAATAAAACCCAACACAAAACAATTCTAAATGCTAGTGAGAATGCACGGTTTATAGTTCCACTCAGCACCGTGCACAGATCTTTCTAGCGCATTGCAGAGTAAAAGCAGCCACATGAAAAAGTACGCAGAATCTAGGTCTGTTCACGTGAATTCACCAAGGAGGAAGGCCTCTGTGTCACTGTGTCACTGGGAGTCAGGATGATGGTTCACCTTGGACACAGCGGGTGGTAGTGAAATAGAAAGGAGCAGGAGGGTTCTGAGAGGCTGATCCCCATGTCTGTGTCTTTGAAATCACTTAACTGTACATTTATTTATACGCATTTTCTATACATAAATTATACTGTAATAACAAATTACAATACATATAGTCACCTAAACGCTACCCCTAGAGCGTCTAAGTGGTCTGAAAAAAGGCTCAGATTTTCTTTCAGTTTTTTTGTGGCACTGTTGATGAAACCGAGGGCCACCACACTGAGCTACACGCCCAGCCCTAGTTTTAATTTTAAAAATTTGAGACAAGGTCTCACTAAATTGCCCAGGCTGAGCTTGAGCTCTCAGCCCTCCTGCTTCTGCCTCCTGAGTTCTGGGGTTAGAGGGCACGCACCACGATGCCCAACTTCTGAGCTCAGCTTTGGAAGCTCCGTTGAGACAGATGTGTACCTAGCTCCTTGTCCTGTATAACTGCTGCTGTGGCCCCTGGGTTGCCTCTCTTTTTTTAAAAAATTTTTTGATTTTTATTGAGCTTATTGGCACAATCTAGGTATACAATACAATTACATTCATTATTGGGATCTTGTACCTTTACGTGATAGGTCTTGCTGGGTTGCCTCTCTTGAGGGCTGCGCAGTGCTGCATTTTGTTTGGAGAACAGAGCTGTGTTCAGATCTTTCCCGGAGATCACAGTAGCCTGGCGCCCTGGCTGGCAGTGGGAGGTACCTAGGGGGCCAACCCCGCCAGCCATGGGCCAGGCCCAGCCTGTGACTATACTGGCCACACCGCCTCTGGCGCCTGGCCTGGTGGAGGAGCTGACAGAGTCCTGGAGGGAGGTGTGGCCCGTGGTTAGGGCGGCCTCCCACTGTGTTCCCCCTTTGATCTGTCAGCCAGTGTGGGCTGAGTGCCTTGTGGTGGGGCCAGGCTCCTGCAGGAAGGGCCCAGCTTTGGGTGACGCCACCAGCTGGTGTCCAGTACTCCCCTCCTTTCCTGCTGGCTGTCACTCATTCTCTGTGTGGGTTGTGACAGGGTCTGGCTGTGTAGTTCAGGCTGGCCTTGAACTCACTCTGTAGCTCAAGCTCATAGGGATCCTCCTGCCTCAGCCTGCTGAGTGCTGGGATCACAGGTGTGCGCCACCACACCCAGCCCCTTCACTCTTCACTATCTTGTTCTTCTCTTCTCCTTTTTGGCGTCATCAGCTCTTTCTTTTTAAATTTAATTTAATTTTATCTTATCCCCCTCAGCCCTTTCCCCTCCCTATGTACAAAAGCTTTGTTTTCATGTTTCCTTCTACTTTTCACTTTCTTCTTGTCCCTTCCTTCCTTCCTCCCTCCCTCCTCCCTCGTTCCCTCTCCCATCTGAACACTTTCTTTCCATTTCCCAACCTCCATTGTACAGCTCAGTCCTTATTTCCACATTCAGTTTCTTACCCCAGAGAAGCAATGTGGTATTTAAATGTGTGTCCAGTTTATTGCACTTAAGAGTATGATCAAGGGTCAGGGATTTAGCTCAGTGGTTCTGCCACCTGGCTGGCAAGCGCAGGAGCCCGGTACCAAAAAAAAAAGTATGGTTTTAAGGCTTATCCGTTTAGCTATAAATGTCTGAAGCTAATCTTTCCTTGTGGCAAAGTACTCCACTGCATAAGAAAACCACATCTTCTGTATCCACTCGTTAGCTGATGGGTATGTGGGCTGTTTCCAAGATTTAGCTATTACAAACTGTGCTGCTATGGGCGTGCTTAATCACTGTGGTATGATGCTTTTAATTCTTTCTGGAAGATACCAAGAAGGGGTACACCCGGGTCAGATGGAACCTCTGAGTTCTTTATATATATATTCTAGATAACAGTCCTTTATCTGAATATCAGGTCTCTTTCTCTCTCCTTCCTCTCTCCCTTTGCTTAAGCAAACACTGTGCACTGGCCGTGTGCCAGGCACACAGAGGCTCACAAACCACCCTTGCTGGAGCTCAGAGTCCAGGGAGGCAGATGTCTAAAGAGGCGGGCACAGAGGAGGTGACATTTGGCCTGGGCTTTCCAGGTGGAGGGCACTGTGGTGAGGAAGGCGAGATGCCTGGTGAGCTGCTTGGGAGGGGGCAGGCAGCAAGGCTGTTGAGAAACAGGAAGCCAGGGAGGCCAGTTGAGGGTGATGGGAACTGAGGGCCATCAGGGGACAGCGACAGGAGCAGATATGGAGCCCGGGGGCAGAGGGGCAGGTGTGGCGAGGATGCTGTCACCACTATCCAGAGGGTGGCAAGCGTGGCCAGGCTGGGCCGATGCAGTGAGAAGAGAGACAGAGATGAATGATGTCAGGGTTAAGCAGGGACGGGCCCCTCGGGGCCACCGGAGATGGGACAAACTGAGGACTCCAGCGAGTGATGGTGTGGAAGACGGGGCCGCCTTCCATGATCCTGGGTGCTCAGAAGGAGGCTGGTTTGAGGGTGATGTGAGGCTCACTTTGATGGCGAGGCCTAGTCAGCAGGGCTGGGCTCCGGAGGGTGATGGGAGAACTGGAGGTGTCTGCTGGTGGTGCCGTTTGAGCTTGGGGGAGGCAGGCAGAGCGCATGCATCAGGCACCGCCCAGGGCCTCGTCCTCGGGGTCTACACTTGGGTCTCTGGGTCCACCACTCACTTTCTACCCTCTCAGTGTGACCCTTTCTTGTCATCTCCCTGAGCGGTTGTCTGTTCCCACCCTGTTCTCTTGGTGTGGCAAGGTTTGTGGGAGGCATGGAAGAGAGGGCAGGGGCTACAGAGGAGGCTGCTGCTGTCCTGACGTCAGACTGGGCGGTGGGGTGGGGTTCCAGGCCTCAGTGCGCCTTTAATGTCAGATACCACCATTCCCCTGCCCGTCCTCCTTGTGGCAGGAACTATTTTTGTGGCTGTAACTGAAAAATTATAGACTTGGGGACCGTGAATGCTGACATGAGCTCCACAGTGTGAACATAGGGATGGATGGGTAGGAAGTGTGGTTTATGACCTATCACTGGGAGTGAGTAGTTGGCCTGCGGAAAGGGCTATGGGGGAGTGGACAGAGGCTGCCAGCAGGGTGGGGCACCAAGCTGAGCTCCCGCTCTTGAAACCCCAAGGCTGTCTGGGTCAGGGCCCACTGGTCATTGGGTCCCTTCTGCCTGAGATCTGCCAGTGTTTGCTGGATGACCACTCTGCCCCTGGACCTTTGCATGTGACATTACTCCTATTATTTTCATTCATCTAAACAAGTGTCTTACTTGTGTTGTCCTGTCTGCACTGCGACAACCAACATCGATTGTTTCCCAGGTCTGGACTCTTGATCAACTACAGAAATAAAGGAGCAGAGTCCAAAGAAATTGCAAAGTGAAAGCAAGATTTATTGCAAGTGAACAGGCTCCTCCAAAGAGGAGAGGCCCCAGAGCTGGGAGTCTACTGCTCCCCTTGAACAGGGATCAATTTATGGTGGTTTGAGCAGCCCCACCCCCTGGGTGGCGTGGTGTGTTCATGCAGTGGAGCTTGATCTTGGATTGGGTGCCCTGCTTGTGGCCAGGCATCCGCGAGAACGGAAGGGCACTTGTGATTGGGCTGACGTGGTGTTTTGTAGGCTCGGAACAGTGTTCCGGTTGGGTTCACGCTTGGAGCCAAGTGCCCGCTCTGGTTAGGTTTGGCTCCTGCTTCCCCTGCCCTGAAACTGTTGCCCTGCAACTGTTTCATCCGTGCTTGTTTTGAATAGGTTTTAGTTCCCACTCGAGGTCAGCTTCCCTGTTCCAGCCCAGCCTGTGGACCTGCGTCCCTACAGCATGCTTGTGGCTGAGGCACAATGCCTGGCATCTACGGCTGAAAAGAGGAGAGGCTTATTCTGGTGCACAGTGACAGTCATGGTCTGCCGGTTCCTGAGCAGAGTCCCGTGTCAGAGGAAGAGCTGTTCATGGCACGCATGGTGGACGGGAAGAATAGAGTCAAGGAAGCAGCCGGTGGGGAGAGAAGCCCTTCCAGGCCACACCCACAGAGACTGCCTTTCCCCCAGACCCTGTCTCCTAACAGCGAATCAGCCCGGTAATCCGGTCACCTCCTGGAGATCCTTCCTGTGAGCGCAGGAGGCTCCAGAGGGACCTCTGGATCTAAACCATACTGACACGCAAACACTTCAGGGGAAGAAGTCTTGACTCAGTAGTAGAAAGTCAGAATCGAATATCACTTTGGAAGCACTGTGAGTTTCCTCATTGTTTGCCCCAGGGAAGGCTTGTGGCCAACACAATTGTCAGGGGAGAGACGGGAAGCCCTGGATTGTCCACGTCCTGTTGATTCCATGAAAAAAGGTTGCATTCAGTTTAAAGATATCTGAGAGCCCTTCGCGCCTGCATGTGTTTCTCCGGTTTATTGCGGTGATTTTCTTCTCGGAGACGCTGCAGTCTTCCGTCGTTCTCTCAGCCTGAAGCCCCAGCCTCGGCCCGGCTCGCTGACGCCGCACACAGTCAGCACGACAGGATTCTCCTGTGTGCCCAGCCCTGGGCTCCAGGAGGCCAGCGACGGATGGGGCAGAGTCCCTGACCTCCCGGAGCCTCTGGCAGTGGACAGTCACGGCAGACCGACACCGTGTGACAAACATGAGAGGAGACTTCCAGTTGGATACTGTGAGTGCCAGAAGCAGGGGCTCGTCACCCAGGCTGCAGGGCAGCTGAGGGACAGTGTCCCCGAGCAAGTCATGTTGGACCTGAGGATGCTTTCAGTTTACAAAGCAGGCAAAGGCATGGTCAACCACGCAAGATTGTATAACCTACGCAAGATTTTTATCCTCCGTAGTTTATGGGCTCAATTTCCGGTTTTCTGGGAACCCTTCTGTGACTACGTCAGCACATGAGGATGTATGTGTCCCCTGAACTCCTGCAGCTCTGAAAACTTAAATCACACTTTGTAGTGCACAGTAACGGCACTCTAGACAGCTCGCAGATGAGGTTCCAGTCATTAATACATATTTGAGAAAAATTCCAGCCTACCAGTAGGCAGAAAGACAAATGAAGACAACACATTTTCACCCAATTGGCCAGTATTGAAATGACAGACATGTAGAGTAAGGCTTGGATGTGGGGAACGGGGGCCTCACAGAGTACTGATGGCTGCTGCCCTGGTGTAGCACCTGGGAAAGCATTGAAGGTGGCTCTAAAGAAGCCTGAGTAATTTTTTTTTCTTTTTCTTTTTTTTAATGAGGCAGAGTCTCACTATGTAGTTGAGGCTGGCCTGGAACTCACTATCTAGCCCAGGCTGGTCTTGAACTCATGGTGATCCTCCTGCCTCAGCCTCCCGTGTGCCACCATACCTGGTGAAATTTCCATTTTTGGTATTGGGGATCGAACTTGGGCCCTTGTGCTTTCAAGGTGGGCGCCGGAACCACTGAGCTAAATCCCCAGGCCTGAAATTTCCATTCTTAATCCACTAGTTGCACTTATGAGAAATAATCCCAAGAGTGAGCAGTGACATGGGGACTCTCTCTTGAAATCATGTTAAGCAACAAATTAGGGTACACAGATTAAGTGCTACACCATTCATTTCTATGGGTCACACATTTGTGCATCCGTTTTTCTTTGATTTTTTTTTTTTAAAGGGAATTTTGAAATGAATGATTTTGGTCTCATACATATTTTGCATTTGTCATATTCCTTCCAAGGAACATTAAGCAATCAAGGAAAAACCCTTTGTGAAGCATGAAATGCTGGAACCGAGTAAATCCAGAAATAAACTTTGGGAGTCAAGGGTCACCTGATGAGCGCTATGTCAGCTCAGAAGATTCAGCTAATAGGGTCACACCTGGCTTATCATGGGGAAATGTTCTGAGAAATGTGTGGTTAGACAGTTTTGTTGTGCCAGTGTCACAGATTGCCGTGCACAGACTAAGACAGGTGTGTTGTCCCCAGGCGCTGCGGTCTCGGGACCGCCGTCGCCTATGTGGTCTGTTATTGGTGACCGAATTGCCTTTGTGCATCACGTGACTATACACATCGATATATTGGCCAAGGCTGAGCACACAGGTCACCAAGCCGTATTCCGTGGCTGGGCTGATTTTGTGCATACAGTTGCCTGGCTCTTCAGCTTGACACTGGGTGTAGTCTGTGCCTGGGCCCACTGGGATGGAGTGAGATTGAGCTATCTCTGTGGGTGCTGGCAGATCTTGGGCTGAGTCAGTAACACTGGGCTTGGAGTAGAGAACTCTGGTGCACTCCAGCCTCACAGCAGAGTGTGACTAAGCATTTGGAATGCTTAGATTTCAGGCTCCATTTCCTTATTTGCAGAGGGACCACAGCACAGGACCTTGGGACTTATTCTATATCCCCACCCCGCCCTGCCTTGGCCCTGCTCTTTGGCCACCTCACCTTCTTTGGTCAGCCCCTGCCTACTCCATCTGGGCTAGTTTGATACCTCAGGCTCTACTGATGCCAAGTCTGGAGGGGCGGGGACGGGGACCCTGTTCTTTGGAGCTGCTGGCAAAGGCAAGAATGGAGGCCACTGGAGAGCCCTACTTGCTTTGTTTTTTGTTTTGTTTTTTGAGACAGGTCTCACTATGTAGTTGAGACTGACCTGGAACTCACTATGTAGCCTAGGCTGGTCTCAAACTCACAGTGATCCTCCTGCCTCGTCTCCCAAGTGCTGGAATTACATGTGTGAGCCACCAGGCCCGACTTGAGAGCCCTACGTGCTTAGGCAAAGAGTATTCCCTCCCTCCCAGGCATCTTTGAAAGAGTCTGGCTCTCATGGCCAAGGTGTTCTGCCCATCTGAAGGAGAGACTAAGGCTACTTCCTGGCCTGGAGCAACCACACCCCTTCTACTACTGTCACCTGTGGGCCAACCAAAGTCCACTGCTTCATCAGCTCCTCGGCTGTGATAAAAGCTTCCTGTGCTTAGCAGCCTTCACAGAACCTGGCAGTTTATGGTATCACTGTCCAGGCACTCAGGAACTCTTGTTTTCAGCCACTAGAGAGCCTCAGAGACCCCCCTCCCCAGGTGCCTTCTCAGGGCAGAGCTGCAGGCCCAACTCTGGCCTAGCAGCTGCCTGGAGCTCACAATGAGGAGGAGGAAGAGGCTGATTTTCCTTCTGGTCTAGGAATTAGTCGAACCTCAGTCTTCCTAGAGAAATGCTGTGTGAGATGCCCCACTCTGTCACCCTTGCCTTCCCAGGCCAGGCTTGGGTGGGGGACGGACACAGCTGCCCTGGGCCACTGCCCTGGGGCTACGCAGTGCTGGTAGGGAAAGATGTCCCCGTCAAGCCCTGCTTCCTGAAGTAGGGCCTATTTCTTCCTAGCGACCGACAAATGAATGGAAAGACCGACAAATGAACAGAAAGACAGCTGCTCTGAAGAGTCCTGTGACCTACACAGAGAAACCAGACAGTGCCCAGGAGACCCTGGACTGCAGGTGAGGCCCCTTCTACTCAGAGGTACACACAGAAGTCTTCAGAGGTAACTGTCAGACAGGGGACCTTACAGTAGACTCATGGCTCCTTAGGCTGGCATGGGCGGCCTGGGGCCTCTCCCTCCTACCCCTCTGCCCTGTCCCCATGCACTGGGACCTAGCAGAGTCCAGGCTTCTCAGGTTACCAGCCTCCTCCCTGCCCACCTGTCCTCGGGCCAACCTGGCCAAGGCAAAGGTTTGCATTTCAGCGCCACCCCTATCCCCAGCCTGGTTGCTTTAGTCAGGTGAGGTGGTGCTGAGCTCCTCATTACAGAGCCCCAGGCCACGCAAGGCAGCTACAAGGAGGGCAGGTCTGCTGGGATCATGGCCCACGGCCTGGCCCCAGAGCTGTGAGTCAGACACCTCCATTCACCCGCCCCAGACTGGTCCCATCCCTGTGCTGCCTGCTCCAGAGAGATGGGAGGGAAGGAGTAAGTGGCAGCCTGGGTGGGAAGCATCTTGGGAGACTGAATTTAGCCTGCTCCTGGGGTGGGAGGGGAGGTTGCTGGCTGGGAAGAGGGGGCTCTTGGCACTCCTCCCTGTATCTCGGGCTGTGCTTTTCCGGGGACTGCACACTTACCGAACTTGTCATCTTGCCATGTCCCCTAGAAAAGGGTCCTGGTCTCCAACCTCCACTCCAGCCTCTGGGCTCAAAGCCAGGTGCACTGGGCCCCAAGGATGCAAGGGTGGGACTCAAGGGTTGCTTGTCCTGGAATGGAATGTCTCTTTTCAGTCTGCACTGGCCAGAAGGCTTGAAGGGCAGAGAGATAAAGAAGTATGGCCGGGAAGGGGTGAGTACGTGGCTTCCTTTATGGCTCACCAGGGAGCGGCCTTGGACTGCCTGGATGGGACTGACTCCCTGGCCTACCGGGAGATCTGAGCAGGCGTTGCTGTCTGGGTGGGAGTGCTGTGTCCCCCTCCAGGCCCAGGCTACCTTATCGGGGACCCAGCGTTACCCAGAGACGAGTTGTGCGTGGAACTCAGCCTCCATAGCCACCAGCTGTTTACTGGCTTCTCCAAGTAGAGCCCAGGAAGGGGTGTGGTAGACAGTGGCATTATTTCCTGGTAGCTGGAGCAAGATTCTTTTGGTGGTCTGACCTCCCCTGCCATGTATTTGCAGACACTGCTAAATAAATACAACGAGCAATACCACAAGCTCTTCAAGGACATCCCCTTGGAGGAGATGGTACTCAAAGGTAAGAAGTCTCCTCGGACTGAGTGGCTGGTGGGTGCCCAGGTCTCCTTCCCTGGGGCCCCTAAGGCACCATGTAGGTGTGGGGACTGGCTGTTCTCTGGCTGCAGACGTGTGGGCATCTTAGGGGGACTGGCTTTGAGATACAAAGTTGAACTTAATGAAGATTTTCTTGGGGCTTTCAAATCTTATCTCTCTTCTGTTCCTGTCAGCAGCTCATCTTTCTTGCTCCACCCTCTTCCTGAGCAGCTGGGGGCATTTGGATGATCAAGGGCCTCTTCCCAGGGTGGGGTAGATCCCAGAGATCAGGAAAACCCAAGTTTGGTTACCTGGGCTGGAAGCTGCTGGGATTATGGTGGGGAGGAACGGAGGAGGTAGGATTCTCAGGAGAAAGACTCTGGTGAGGGTAGGAATGGACTGGTTGATAAGGATGGGGATTGATGATTCTAAGAAGGACGGGTACTGAGGCTGCAAGCTGGACTTGTGAGTGTGAGGACCCAGGTCCAGCGGCTCCTTGGGTGACCTTGATCGTGGCAATCTTCTCTCCTGTGACTTCCCAGTGTGCTCCTGTGCCCTCCAGAGGGACCTCTTTGTCCAGGGCCGGCTCTACATCTCCCCCAACTGGCTGTGCTTCCACGCCAGCCTCTTTGGCAAGGACATCAAGGTAGTCATGAGTGGTGAGGGCTGCCAGGGTTCAGGGCGCCCTGGTTCCAGCCCAGGGAAGTAAGATTCCTGCGTGGTGGCCGTGCCTCAAGTCGTACCTGTCCCTGTGCCTGCCATCTCTCCCCCATTGGTTGAGCAGCTTCAAGGCATCTTGTCCCGTGTACAGGGAAATAGTGTCTTGATATTGGGCCTGCATTTGGCCCGAATAATTCATAGCCTGGTTATTCTGCCCTGGATATTTCAGAAATGTCTTCAGAATCAGAGAGGGGTGTTACCTGTGGGGAAGAGGCATTAGTGTGGTCAAGGAGCAGCTCAGGGGGCTCCATGACTAAACGATGGGATTCACGGCGCCTATCCCTGGTCTCCTGACTAACAGGGATCGTAACATATGCTGCCAGGCCTGGGGTAGGAGGTGGGGACACTGGAAGGGAGCCTGAGTGAGGAGGACATGGGGCTGGGCTTCCCCAGGGTGCCCACACGTGGGATGGTGCTGGCTATGGCTGGGCCCTGTGCAGGGATGAAAGGGCCCACGTTCTTGCTCTTAGGTGGCCATTCCCGTGGTGTCTGTGCAAATGATAAAGAAACACAAGATGGCGCGGCTCCTCCCCAATGGCCTGGCCATCACCACCACTAGCCAGAAGGTCAGTGAGTCTCTGGGCCCGCACAGCCTCATCAGTCTCCATCTCCCGCCTGACTCGGGCCTCTCCCTGGTCTTTATGTCTCCCCACCCACCCCACAGCTGTCCAGTGCTGGTGATCTTGCTGCCTTTCACAGCCCGATGTCCCCATGGTTCTGCCCCGGTCTTGGCACAGCCTGGAGCACATCTCACCCTGCTCCTCTCTGTTTCCATGTCTCAGTACGTCTTTGTGTCACTTCTCTCCCGGGACAGCGTGTATGACATGCTGAGGAGGGTTTGCACCCACCTGCAGGTAAGGAGCTCTGGCCCCAGCTGCCGGGACCTCACCGTTGGGGGAAGTTGGGCTGCCTCCTCAGGGTGGAACGCGAGCAGGGAGAAGGGATGGGCATCTCTGAGGCCAGAGGGCCTGTGTTTCCCCATGTGTGTACGAGCCCTCCCAGGTACTTCCTTAACCTCCATGAAGACAGGAGCATGTGGCTGCACCCCAGTATGTCCTGTGACACTGAAGCTGCCCCCCAATATGTCCTGTGAAGCTCTCTGGTCACTGGTGAAGTAGGGGAGGACAGGGACAGTAGTATAGGAAAATAAGTTTCCTGGGATTTGCTTTTCTGCTCCAGGATCAGTTAAGGGGCTGCTGTGAACTCTGGCACTGGGTCTCACTTGACACAAAGCAATGTATTTGGAGGTAAAATTCTCCTGGGGAACGTCTAGGAGTATCGCCTTCCCCTGTCTGATCCTGCCTGTCCCCCTTCCTCCTCAGCCTTCCAGCAAGAACAGCCTGAGTGTAAGGAAATTCCTGGAGGAACCCGAGTGCAAGTCTCTGGTGAGAGAGGGCTGAGGCAGGGCGCAAAGGCTGCTGGCCTGAGGGTGTCCGACTCTGAGACTTTCAGTCTCCTTGGGGGTCCTAGATGCAGAACTGCAGCAGTCGGCTCAAGAGCTGGTGGCCGTGCTGTGCCAGGGCTCCCCCAGGGCCTCCGACCATGCGCAGCCATTTAGGTCCTGGGCAGATTTGCTGACTTTCCGAGCGGAACAGAGGTCCAGCCTCAGAACACAGGTCCTGGCCAGTTTGGGTCCCACCACTGTGCGCACACAGCCAGGGACCCATCCTGTTCCTTTGGCAGAGTCAGGAGGGCCTTTGAAGGGACAGGCACATCCCTGGAAGAGAGCACCCAGAGCTGTTTATGTGTGGCATAAACTTCAGCTTTGTCCAAGGCAGTTCAGCATCCTTGGCAGCTATGGGGTGTTTAGCCAAGCGTGTAGATCATAATGTCACGCAGGGACTGGAAGGAGATGTCCCCGTTTGTGTTGACAGGGACCCTGAGTCCCCACCGTGAGGTCATTGAGCCCTGTCAGAAGGGGCCATGCTTTATGCCATCCAAGGCACGCTGTGCCCAGGTGCTTGGCTCATCTCCAGTGCCACCATGATTCTACATTGGCGATCTTCGAGGACAGTGTACTTGGCGGAGGAGTTGGTACCACGGCAAGAGAGCAGAGAGGAAGTTCATGAGTGTTGCTATGTTAGTTGTCCGAACCCTGTATCTGCTTCCTTCCCTGGCTGGGCATGCGTATTGATGATATCTGGAGAAAGACTCGAAAACCTGGTGTAGGCCCTTTGGGGTAACAGAGCTCCCAGGTGCTATGAAAATACAGCTTCTCTTGTCTCTTCTGCAGGAAGTCCTCATTCCAGAGATGAAATGGAGAAAAATATGCCCTGCCTCCAGGTCCCTGTTGCTCCCAGACAACATCCCCTGTGTCCCTCAGGAATCGCTGGACTCCACAGATGGCCTCTTCCCCTCCGGGAAACCTCCAGGGCCTGGTGAGTTCAGAGTCTTGTCCACTGGGGCTGGGTTTTCTCTCCTTGGTGAGTGAAAAGGGAGAGTCTGAGAGCTATTGCTTTCTCCAAATCCACACGGGGTCCTGCTCACCCGAGGATGGTACCTAACGACGCGTCACTTTGCAGAGAATGCTGTCCCTGAGGCCCAGGAGCTCGAGGGGGAGCCAGTGAGAGAGCAGGAGCTGTGGCTCTGGGATTCCCATCTCCTCAAGGTCATCTTCATGCTGTAGGTGACTGTCCTTGGGGAAGGGGTAGGCCTGAGGGAGCTCTAGGTGTGTGGAGGGTGGAGAGGTCATGGTCTGAAGCCAGAGGAAGGTTCGGAGCCAACTCTTGGGTGTGATATGAAGGCTCTGGGGCTCGTCCTTTTATTTATAGCAATACAAAGGTCTCCAGATTCCCAAAACCCTATGACTTAGGCTTAAGACTGGCGTGCTGAGGGCAGGATATGAAACCGCTGAGAAAAGGAAAAAGTGCTGCCCAGGATCTGGGAGACAGAGAGTTGGCAGATGAGACAGGGCCAATGGATGACCGGGGAGAAATCCTGCCCAGGAGAAAAGCCTGCCGTCCCCAGTGGCCACCGTGAGGGCCTGCCCGCAGCCTGTCTAAGGACCGGTGGAGCAGTGAGTGTGGTGGGAAGCATGCACACTGCCAGCCCCTGCTCCCCTCCCCTCACCTCAGTGACTTCCCGGCGCTGCCGCTGAGTGTGACTGTCACCTGTAGCACCTCAGGGGCAATGGGGCCACCACTGAGGGAGAAATCATGGCGACCTCCCAGAGGAGGCACGGGGGGCCCAGTTGAAATATCTGGCTAGGGCTGTCCCAAAAGGCCCCAGAGTCCTGCTGGGCTGAGGACGGTCCATGGGGACAAGTGCCAGGACCCGTGTGTGGCCTGTGGGAGGAAGGGTGTCAGGCCTGTACATGGAACCTGAGGCAAAGGCTTCTTTAATTCCTCCAATTGCAGAAGTAGCTCAGTACCCACTTGTGTTTCTGGTGAGCCTCCAAAAATGCCCTTTTTCTTTTTCTTTTTTTTAAATGTGTGTGTTTTTGAGACAAGGTCTTGTTATGTAGTTGAGGCTGACCTTGAACTCACTGTGTAGCCCAGGCTGGTCTGGACCTCAAGATGACCTTCCTGCCTCAGCCTCCTGAGTGCTTGGGTTGTAGGCATGTACCACCACACCCAGCGAGAAAGCCCTTTTTCTAAAAGAAAGATTCAACTGCTTTTTGCCCCTCTTTCTCCAGGATCTGCTTCTTGGTCATGTCCTCGTCCTACCTGGCATTTCGCATCTCCCAGCTGGAACAGCAGCTGTGTTCCTTGGATTGGAATGGGCCGGTGCCTGGGCACGGGTGCAACGGCCTTTGAGACTAAGGGTTGGGGTAAGAGCCAAGTTGCCTGTCCCCTAGCTGCACTTGGCACCATTGGAGCCGGCCTGATGTCCATGGTGAGGTCAGGCGGTGTTGCCGGTACACAGGTCCCACTTGCAGTGCAGGGAGAAAGGCTTTTTGGGGCCCTCCTGCTTGTGCCTGTCAGCCTCGGCCCTTTCTCTGATCTGAGCGTCTTCCCTGGAGCAGGTAGCAGCTGCCTGGCTTTTGTCCTCACACCTCTGAGAAGAATGCTTGGATGCTCAGACTCGGGGACCCCCGCTCATGCTGCTGCTGTGCTGCAGCTGAGTGTGAAGGAAAACATTCCCGCTCCTCCTCCTTCTGCCCGTCTTCTCCTGTCCTCTGCCAGTGAGCTGAGACACCTGTTTACAAAGTAACCGACTCAAACAGAAAGCTGGATGCTTGGAAGCGGCTGAGGAATTCTGTACACTGGGCTTCAGCAGCCACTTCAGAGAGAACAACGTGTGACTTGCTCTTTGGAGACCACTCTGGCACACAGGCTGGGGGCCACCTCCAGAGACAGAAGCCGCACTTTGATGCCTGGAATGTGGCTCCCCGGAGGGTGGGGCAGCGCCCAGAGCTCAGAGCACCTGTCCGCTTTGTTGCAACACACTTGGGGCCCCTCGGGCCCCTCAAGTCCCTGTGTTGGAGTCCACAGGGCTCTGCAGGGAGCCAGGCACCTGTCAGGCCTGGGCAGGGGCTGTGAAGGCAGGCAGGAGAGCTCCCGGCCGGGATTCCAGCCGCAGATGAATATGCACCTCTGAGCAAGGTCCCTCTTGTGGAGTTCAGCTGACGCTGAAAGATGGCATCCACAGTAGGGTGTGTTGGTGGGGGCTGTGAAGGCCCAGAATTCCATGTCCCCAGCTGTCACTTTCTGGTGAGACAGGTGGGGTTGGGCTTTTGAGCACTGTGGTCACAGATCTGGTACCGGGTTTATCCTTGGTTTTCTCAACCATTTCCAAAGTGTCCCAGGCCCTGGAAGTAGGTGACAGGAAGGATGGGAGGCCATGCTGTGTCCTTCCTGCCTGACTGCCCGCATCTCAGGCATGGCCAGCAGCAGCTGGGGGGGAGGTTTGGCTGGGGAGCCGAGTGTGATGGCTTCATTCATGTCACCTGTCAGTGTGCCAAGGGCCATGGGCCGTGAAGGCTCTGTTCTCCACTGATAAGACGGGCGTGTCCCAGGTGAGCCTGGTTCAGTGCAGAAGGCAGGTGAAGGGGCTCTACCTGACCTTGGGGACCCGAGGGGTAGGGGATGACAGGAAATAGCCGCCATTTCCTCTCTGCGACACAAGAAAGGGAGATCAGGTGGAAATGATTTATGCAGAGCTGCAATTGTCCTGTTGATGACAACCCCAAAGGAGCCCTGACTGCGGGACTGGCAGCAGGTGGCAGCTCTCGGAGCCCTTCTTGGAGGTCTCTTTGTCCTCCCCTCATCCCCTTTCTCAGACTGAGCCTGGAGCCCAGCCTCATGTGCTCCTTGCCCCGAATCTCCATGTCTCAGGTGAAACTCGCTGCCCGTACCTCACGGTGCCATGCTGGGTGAGTGCCTGGCTTTGGGCTTTGGAGGCGGGGCAGCCCCCTCTGTCACTCACTGCCATCGTATGTTCAGGGACACAGTCCTCCTTGTCCAGTGCTTCACCTTTCTGGTCCTTGCAGAAAGGCAGGAAGAACAAGCCCTAGCCTCGCTAGGTCAAGCCGGCAGCCGTGGGAAGTGCCAAGTCATGGGTGGTTGTGCCAGGACTCTGGAGAGCCTGATCCCCAGCCAGACGCTGGGCTTAGGAAGGGAGGAGGCCTGCGGTAGGCAGGTGGCTCAGGGTTCCATGGAGGCCTCGAGCTCTGAGCAGTGTGCTTGTGCCAGTACCGCCTGAGCATCCACTTTATTTCTCCTTTTTGTGCCCCAGCTTGGTCCTGCTGTGCTATGCTGTAAACTCTGAGAATTTATACATTCCTGCCTGCATTGGCTGAGGCTCCTTTAATTCTATGAAACTTTGGGTTTACCAGTCTTGGTTGATCCACTATGGTTTTGTTTTTGGGTTGTTTTTGTTTTTGTTTTGGTCTGGTAACAGGGATCGAATTCTGGACCTTGTGCTTGCAAGGCAGGTGGCAGAACCACTGAGCTAAATCCCCGGCCCATGATCCACTATGGCATTAGACTTTGGCATTTTTTGAAATAAACCTGCTATTTTCTAGTGTCCTGAGGCACGGAAAGTTCATTTTTATCCCGTGGCAGTAGATGTGCTGTACTGACATGCGTGGCACCGAGGAGACTGGTGGAGCCCACGTCATTACCAGGACCCCGAGGACGCTGCAGATCTCGAAGGATCTAGCTGAGTGAGCAGACTTGCTCCCCAGTATATGGAGAAGGGTGAGGGTGACCACAGCCTCCTTCCTCGGCAGGGTGGACACCGATGGACAGTATGTCCTTGTTTCTCCACTGTGATGTGCCCTAATAGTTCTTGACTCAGGAATGACTGACTGTATGGAAGTCAAAGACAGAAGGCTCCTGTGGCCTTTTCTATGACTCAGAGCCTACAGAAGCTATGTTCTGATTTGGGTCACATCTTATTTCTTCTGCCCCCTTGAGTCCAAACCCTGCCCCAGCTGTTGTGCTCAGCATGAGGTACTGTGGTGACCATGCAGGCAGTGGCTGTATCCTAATGACACCTGCCTTAAGTTCATGCACAGTGAGTTCCGAGTGGATCTAGGAACAAACGGGAACTGTAGATTGGGCTCAGATTCCATAAAGGTCAGCAATAGTGATAGGCGGTAAAGAGGGAGATAGCTTTCCATGGGGCAGTCGAGAAATTTCTCTGAAGTGACGCTTAAGCTGTTACCTGTAAGACAAGGTGCCAGTGCTGGGAGCAGAACTCCTGGAAGAGGGATCAGCAGCTACAGGTGATAGAAAGGGCGTATGGGTCTCAACTTTTTTTTTTGGTACCGGGGATCGAACTTGGGTCTTTGTGCTTGTGAGGCAGGCTCCGGAACCACTGAGTTAAATCCCCAGCCCGGGCGTATAGATCTCTAGGCTGCTAACCAAGTGACGGTGATGTGAAAGTCAACTCAACAACAAAGAAATGGCTGGGGATTTAGCTCAGTGGTTCCACCACCTGCTTCGAAAGCCCAAGGTCCCAAGTTTGATCTCTGGTACCAAACAAAACAAAACAACAACAACAACAAACAAATGACTCCTGTAGACATTGCTCCAAAAAAAAAGACATACAAATAACCACTAACAAATGAAAAGATGGTCATATCACTACTAATCACAGGGATGTAAATCAAAACCATAATGAGATACCACCTCACAGGATGGCTATCAAAGAAACAACGGTTATCAAAGATGTGGGAACATCAAATTTCGTGCATTATTGATGGGAATGAACAATGGAATTACTTGTAGTTGGCATAGTTCAGAGGCCATTCAGAGGAGCCTGCAGCAGGCATACATGTGCACAAATACAGGTGGAGCTTGAAAAATAGTATGGTGTTTACTTAAACGAAAACACAGAGTTATCACCAGGTGAGATGGTGCGCACCTGTAACCCCAGCACTTGGGAGGCTGAGGCAGGAGGATCGCCATGAGTTTCAGGCCTGCCTGAGCTATATATAGTTCAAGGCCAACTTGGAACTATACAGTGAGACCCTGTTTCAAAAAAACAAAAAACCAGAATTATATGATCCAGCCATTCCACTTCTGTGTATGTACTAAAAACATTGAAAGCAAGTCTTGAGATATTTGTAATACTCATATGCACAGTGAACTTATATATCAAAAGGCAGGGTTGGGAGTGTGGCTTAATGATAGAGTACCTTAGATGTGCCTTATATATCCCCAATACTAGGGGATAAAAAGGTAGAAACAACCCAAGTGTTCGTTGATGCATGAATGGATAAGCAAAATGTGGTCCACTCATGCAGTGAATATTATTCAGCTTTGAGAGAAATGCAGTTCTGAGACATGGTATTGATACAGAAACTTTCGTAAATAATCTAAAAACATACAAAATGTTAGGAAAATGTAAAATGACTTCTGTCTCTAACAGTGATCTGCTTTGTTTAGTTCAAAATTAACAGACACCGGAGGCACTGACATCTGGGACATCTGGCCTCATCCCTAACTTGAACACCCCCTTCCTGTGCACTAGGATAGCTAGCTAGAGGAATCTTAAGGTAAACTCCCCAACTGCAAAGAACTGTTATGTATGAGTTAAAGTTAACTATTCCCTGACCGTGATGTGAACTATGAGAATGAAACGTAATCATCCATATGAAGTCAAGGCTGTAAAACCCTATAAAAGGAGGAGTTGTAACCCAGTGTGTGGTCAATCCAGGCACTGTTGATGTGCGATCAACCCTCTTCAAAGAATAAATTTGTTATTTCACTTCCATTCTGCTGCCTCTCTGCATGTCACTTGCAAATTCCTTCCCCATCAGTAAGACATGGATAACCCTTGAGGACATTTGCTGAGCACAAAAGCCAATCACAAAAAGACAAGTACTGTGTGACTCCACTCATGTGCCCAGAGTGGCCAGCTTCATAGGGACAAAAAGTGGAACAATGAACCTCAGTGAGGAGAGGAGGGGATGGGGTTTCATGGGTACAGTTTTAGTTTCACAAGATCAAAAGAAATCTGGAGATTGGTTGTACATCAGTGTGAATATACTAAACATCACTGGGTTACACACTTAAAATGATTAAATAGTAAAGGTTATGTGTATTTTGCCACTTTTTTTTTTTTAAATTAAGGGATTAGTAAAGTAGACAAAGGAAGAGGGTTTGGATTTTGTAGACTCCCTGGGTATGGAAGCTCAGATCTGAAAGTGTGAGGCCAGCAGGGCAACGTAGTGATTGCTGAAGCCAAGCGCTTTCCTTTGCTGTTGGATGGACACGAGCAACTGGGCACAGGGCACAGAAAAACGCAGCTGATGACCTATAGGCTTCTGGGGGACTTAGAAAAACCAGTCCAAAGACATCCTTTAAAATACACCCCTCCTTGGGGCCAGGGATTTAGCTCAGTGGTTCCGCTGCCTGCTTCTCAAGCACAAGGACCTGAGTTCGATCCCCGGTATTAAAAAAAATAATAATAATAAAATAAAATACACCCCTCCTTGATTTAGCTCAGTGGTTCTGTCACCTGCCTTGCAAGCGCAAGGACCTGAGTTCGATCCCTGGTACCAATAAATTAATAAAACACACCCTTCCTTACACTTCTGGGAACCGGTTCATACATCATCTTGGAGAAAGAATATCATTCAATATTTCTAATTTTTAAAGTTGAAGCGAGCTAGCTTTATAAGGAACAAACAACTGCCCTATTTGGGGAAATGGAGGGAAATACGCATGGCAGTGCCTGGGTTTTGCACTTTCCCAGAGGGAAAGGCCCGGGAGGGGCAGGCGTTCTAGAGAAAAAGGGATTCAGGAAGGCTGGGAGCACAGGCAGGACTTCAGCCCATCAGAGATGTTCTAGAATAAGACACTGCTCACCCCAAGTGCCTCCCACCTGGTTGTCATGTCATTAGGCCCCTGCCAACCTGGCAGGGTTTAACACCCATGCTACTCCTCTCTCCTAGTCGCTGGGTGCCCAAATCAGGGATTCCTAAGCCAGAGAAACTTCTCAGAGAAGAATCTCGTTTTCCTGAGCCTGCACGGAAGCCAGACTCCCTGGGCTCCAGCCAAGGCTGGTCTCTGAGAAGAAATGACAACTGGCCCACTAGGTGGCAGCAAAGTCCAGCAAAAAGGCCCGTAGTCAACGGGTAAAAGACCGTTGTTCTCAAAGCAAGGTCCTTGCGGTCTTGTCTTCTTGCTGGAGGAAACAGGCCCGGGCTTCCTCCAAGCCCAGCGCACTGCCAATGCCACAGGAGGGAGTCTCCAGGCAGCAGGCCGGGTGGTCATCTCCCCTTTGGAGGCTCTTCCTCCCTGCTCAAGGCCTGCGGTGATTGAGAAGGTAATGAGGCCAGGAGTCTCCAGACCTCGGGCAGGCCTGGCGGGTGGGAAGGCAGAACCAGCAGCTTCTACGCACAAGTGTGCGGCTGTGTGTATCTGGGCGTCAGGGTGGGGCGCTCAGCTTCTAGGGCTCCGAGACCCCAGGCTCTGCCTTGCCCTTGCTGTGCACTGCATCTTTTCCCACTCGGAACAGAACAAAACCTGTGTCCTGTGAAGTGTGCAACAGGGAGGCAGTGACACTTCCTCTTCCTACTTAGGTAACACGGTTCGGACCCCAGGGCAGAGAGGCCCTGAAGGGTAAGGATTAAGTAGGCTTTGTCCACGGAGAGGAGGGGCCTTCAGCCTCCCAAATGATAATGCGGAGAAACCCGAGTTCATCCCTCTTCCGCCGGCCTCCAGAGACACAGGCTGCACCTGGCGCCTGCGGGCCCCTCGCCGGCCGCCCTCGCCCTCCTGCGGCAGAGCTCTTGCCTCCCTGGAATGTGTTCCTTCTTGTTTGCTACTCAGTGCCTGGCTGGGGGCCAGACCTGGGCTGCTCAGAATGCGACGCCCCCCCTCCTCGCCTCCCTCCCACAGGGTGTGAGACAGGCTCCCTCTGCCTGGAAGAGGCCAAGCCTTCCTTTGGGTCCTCAGCCCCAGGGCTCACCCAGCATGAGGCTGAGAGCAGAGGCCTTGAGGGAACAGAGCTTGGTGCCCAGCGAAGCAGGGAGCTTGGGACATTGCTATCTTATCCTATTGGCAGCTTCTAAATCGGGCCGGAGTGGGCAAAGAGTTACTCACAAGCTGTTCATTAACTTGCTAAATGCAGAGAGGCTGGCTAGGGCACCACTTTGGGAAAATGTGACACCCACCTCTCCTGGATTCAGTCTAGCATGAAGGCGTGTTAATTGGTGTAGGATTTCTGATGGAAGTTTTTCTTTGCTGCTGGTTCCAAATGCCAGACTAATCTGAATGGCACACTGTCTTCAGCAGATAACTACAGTTAAGCAATTTATTAGCTAGTTCCATGGGTTCTTGAAAACGTTTCTACAGCTACAGTGACACTTTCTGAGCACTTGAACAGGCCCTTTTCTGGGTGCTGTTTATGATCAGTATCTCATTTGACTCAGTACAATGTAGTTTTCACAGTTTTCCCTTGATAGAAATACGTACAGCAGTGACCTCTTGGGGAGTCTGGTCGGGGTGAGTGGGAGGGAACTGCTATGTAACACTGTGAAAACAGAGAGGGGGTAGGGCAAGTTTTGCAGGAGGGGTCACGCAGGCTTACTCAGAGGCACAGGGGCGGCAGCATGCGTGGGTTTCAGAGAGAGTGAGATTTGGATCCAAGGAGAGATGCGGGGGGGGGGCAATCTTCCCGAAATGTGTGTTTGGAAGGGTAATGTCAGTAAAAGTTTGGGGGTGTGGAGGGTGGTGCTGGTGAAACTGGAGAAGATACCTAAGTGGATCTAAATGTCAGGATTAAAAAAAAAAAAAGAGGCTTCATCTTCCTGGCAATGAAGAGTTGCTGGAGCTGTTGTCGCTGAGGAGTCATGAATAAATTCGGTGGGTTAGGAAGATTCCTTTGGCAGTGGAGTACAGGTTGATGAAAAGTTCCATAGAATGCTGTAGTCTGGATCACGGTCAGCTTCAGCACTATTGACATTTGGGGCTGGATGATTCTTCCTTATGGGGTTATCTTGTGTGCTGTGAGATGCTGAACCATATCCTTGGCCTCTGTCCACCTGATACCAGGGTAACCCTCGTCTCTGGTTGTGGCAACCTAAAATATCTCCAGACATTGCCAAATGTCTCCTGGGGAAGAAGGTTGGGCAGGACTATCCCTAATTCAGAATCATTGGTCTGCCTGGCAGGAAATTAAGACCTGGGCCTCAGAATACTATTTGTTTTATTGTTGTTTTGGGGGGTGCTGGGCCTCATACCATACCACTGATTACACCCCAGCCCCTGAGCTGGGTAGTTTCTTTTTTCTTTTTTGGTACCAGGGATCGAACTCAGGACCTTACACTTGCGAGGCAGGTGGTGGCACCACTGAGCTAAATCCCCAGCCCTCCTGGGTATTTTCTTAACACACTCCCATCAGCCTGTTGGCTTTTAGAATAGCTGACAAAAGTAAAAATGGTTTCCTTGCTACAGGAAATTCATCATCTATGCCAAAGAACTTAATGGCATAGGAAACGAAGCTCTAGAAGTAGATCATTCTGCATGTTAGAAACCTCTAGAGAAAAATTCAAAATGGCAGATAATGTACTCAAGATTCATAAGCAAGAAAGCAGCTGATATCAGGATTGCTTTTCCTACCCAACCCCCTAGTCACATCTTACTGAAGACCTTTCTTTTGTTACTGGGGATCAAACTTGGGACCTTGCATCTGTGAGGCAGGCAGAGGAACCACTGAGCTAAATCCCTGGCCCCGAAGAGCTATTTTGAGTATGGAAAACCCAGTCTGCCTGCAGACATAAAGCCTACTAATCTGAGTTTTCCTAGGTTTTCTTTTCTTTTCTTTCTTTCTTTTTCTTTTTTTTTTTTGTACCAGGGATTGAACTCAGGCCCTTGTGCTTGCAAGACAGGTGGTGGAACCACTGAGCTAAATCCCTGGCCATCCTAGGTTTTCATTCACCCTTCTAGAATTTTTTTTGGGGGGGAGCAATGGATAAAGTGTATGGACAGATCCTGGCCTGTCAGTGAAGACACCTGATTTCCCAAGAAGTGTCTTTGTCTAAAGCAGGAACCAGTGAAGGATGGCCTAGTGGCTGGCTGCTTTTTTTTTTGTAAATAGTTTTATCGGAACACTGTCATGCCCATTTGTTTATGTACTGTATTGTCTCTGGGTGCTCTGAAGTTCCAAGGCAGAGTTGAGTAGTTACCATAAAGACAATAAAGCATAAAATATTTACTGTCTAGCCCTTCAAGGAAAACTGCCAATTCCTGGCCTAAAGGAAAATGCTTACAAATTGCAGACTCTTATTCTTATTCTATTGCTAGGAGTTATGGTTTCTATCTCAAGGTCCCCCTAAAGCAATCATAGGCAAGACCTTTGGAGAGTGATTGAATTTTGGGGGTTTATAGCCAACTTGCTGTTAGGAGGTAGGGCCTGGTTGGAAGAGAGGGGTCACTGTGGGTGTGACCTGGAAGGCTGTATCTCCCTTCACAGCTCCTTCCTTCTCTCACTGCTTCCTGTTCTCCACGAGGTGAGCCGCTCTCCTCCACCCAGGCCTCTTTGCCGTGCCACTGCCTTGGAGCCAGCTGACTATGGACCGAAACCTCGCTCCACTGTGAGCCAAATAAACTTCTCACTTAAGTTGTGTCAGGTATTGTGTCTCAGCAATGAGGACAGTGACAGATTTCCATTTTTTTTCATTCAAATAACTAAATGCTCACCATGGGTTAGGCACTGGGCTAAGAGCTTAGGATTTGTTACTGAACAAGGCAAATCAATATGTTTCCCTTCACAGTGTTTATATATCCTAGAAGTGCAGGTAAGGAGACTGGCAGTAAGCGATAACTAAATTATATAGTATGTTAAAAGGCGATAGGGCCAGGGATTTAGCTTAGTGGCACCGTACCTGCCTCTCAAGTGCAAGGTCCTGAGTTTGATCCCCAGTACCAAAAAAAAAAAAAAAAAAAAAAAAAGTGATAAATTCTAAGAGAAAATGGGGGAAAGGTAGAATGAGAAAAGCCAGATGTGGTAGCATATGCCCATAATTTCAGCTACTCCAGGAGGCTAAGGCAGAAAAATGGCAAGTTTGAGGCCAGCCTGGACAACTTTGCAAGACCCTGTCTCAAGGGTTGGGGGTGTAGCATAGTGGTAGAGTGCTTGCCTAATATGTGCATGGCCCTGGGTTCGATTCCCAGTGCTGCAAAAAAAAAGGAGGGGCTGGCAGTGCTGATAGGGGAAATACCGTTAGAAGAGGGCAGTCAGGGATGGTCCAATTGAGAAGCTGGTTTTTAAGGGAAGACAAAAGAAGTGAGAAAATAAGCTTTGTGGGACGTTTCGGGGAGTAAGAATAGCATGTGCACAGGGCCTGAGGCAGGAGGGGTCCTGGTTTGCTTGTCCACAGCACGGATGCAGGTACAGCTGGAAGAGAGAACAAGAGGACAGGACTAGATGAGGTCCAGGGGAGGGGGAAAGGAGAAGACCACTATAAAAACTTTGGATGAAATAGAATAATCTTTTATTATATAGGTTCAAAAGGACCATCCTCGGCTGCTAGGGAGGGAAAGGTGGAAGCAGAGAGATGGGTTAGGTTTCTGTAGTTACCCAAGTAAGTGATGGCAGTGATTCTGACCAGGGCAACAGAAGCAGAGGTGGGGGAAACGAGCAGGTACTGGATATATTCTGAGAGTAGAAGCAGCAGGGTTGCCTGCTGATCTGGAGATGGGTACTACAGAAAAAAGTCTTAAGGATGACACCATGATTTTTGGCTTGAAAGGATGGAATGGAGAAAACCACAAGTGATATTTCTATGAACTGAGGAGGAAGATCAGAAATGCAATATTAGACCTGGTAAGTGTGGTGGATTAGCTGATGGTCACCTGGAATGCCCAGCTGAACTGAATCAGTATGGTCTGGCCATGGAAGACCCACCTGAGGACTGTTGCCAACGGCATAAAAAGAGAACTGGAGGGGAAGATCGTGGGCTCTTGATTTTCTTGGGGAAGCTTGCTGAGGGTGGTTCTCCTGATGCAAACTTGGCTGTTCTCATCAGAGGAGGAGCTCAGGGCCTCGTTGTCCCTGGGAATGTCTGCCGTTCTGGTCAGGGGAGCGCTGATCTTTGCCATGAGCATCACTTCCCAGGCTTCAATGTAGATCCTCAGCCTGGTGGCGCAAATCCTTCACTCCGCTGGCACAGGTTTTCTAGCTTCCATCACTTTGGGCCTCCTGGGTGCAGATCCTCCATACGGACAAGCATGAGACATTGCTGTGAGCTCTGGGGTACTGGCTGGACTAATGGCGGACGTTGCCTTGGGCTCTAGGCCTTCAGTTGGCCTTGTGTGAGATCC